GGTAGTTTTGCTGTTTCTTTTTTCATTTGAAAAAGTAATAACAAAATGTTGAATAGTTGAGCTATATCTAGATAAGAGGTTACAACAATTTCATTGTCAATAACTGGGAGTGTGTCTTTTTCACTTTGATTTGATCTATGAATAAAATGCTTTTGGATTTCAGTCTATGTTTTAAGCAAGTTTTTTTTTTGAATTTAATAGTTACTTTTCTACATGCTTTTTCTACATGACTTTGTTTCGGGAAATGTGCTACTTATTAGGTTTCACCATCTCTGTTCAATATATATTCATTATTTGATAATTACATTTATTAGAGAGTCAATCAATTATGAGCATTTTATAATTTTATAATTAGATTTTGGTCTATTACTGTTGATACTAGTTTTAAGTTTATTGAAAAATATACTCCATGTTTGGTTTAATTTTGACAAAGTTTAATAGTTGCGAGGTGTCCATTCAATTTATCATAGTTCCCTTTTGTGTATAAATATTTTGTATAATTTGGCAGTAAATTTTCAATAGATCAATCAATAGAGTAAAGTAGTTAATGATGAATTTTGCCTATGGGTGCTAGATATGTTAAAAAGGAAATCATGCTTTCTTCTGATATAAATAAAAGATCAATTGTAGAAGGATTTTGTCTAATATGTATTGCTTCTGAAATATGTAGGACTAACAATAAGAATGCTAGGATATTTGTAAGAAAACTTGGCGATGAGCTGATTTATGCAGTTGGTGTTTTCATCATTACTATTTGATGATCTGTAATATAAACTTAATATCAACTTAAAAGTTATTGTAATAATTTCACAACTGAGTGATGGAAATCAAGGTTTATTAAGCTGTGTTTTGTATGTAGTAACTTTTAATAGAAAATCTAGATCATTGGTTTTAAGTTTTTTATTTTTAGGTAGAGTCTCTGTTATAAAAATAATTTGAGATTTTAAATAACAACTTGTTTGAGCTCATAGTGTTTATTTATAAGGGAATCAATGTTTGTGTAAATAACTTTTACAGATTTAATTTTAGTAATTTTTTAATGGTACATAAATTAATTCCAAAAACAATAATATTTTCTTCACATTTTTTTTCTGTTCAGATGATATATTTTTTGTAATTTATCTGCAGATTTATTTCTGTTATATAGATTTGACTAAAATGTAACTAAGCTGTTTTTTAAAAAACAAGTGAAAAAATAAGCCTTGGATAACCCAAGGAATTCTGAAGTCTATAAAAGTAAAGGATAAACTAAATAAAATTTTTTTAATTCATCCATCAACTCCATTAAAAAAAAAAAAACATTTTATTTATTCAAAATGTACAGAAAAAAATCAGTAAAAAAAAACTATTATACAACTTTTTTAGATAACAATTTAGAAATAAATTAATTTAGATATTATTTTTTTAATTTAGATATTATTTTTTTAATTATATTTTTTTAAAATACAATTTATAAAACACAGGGAAAGAAATTAAGGAACTCATAAAAATAAACAACTTTGTGCCTAAACATCAATTAATAAATTTCAATAATGCTAAAAATATAGTTAGTGATGATAAAACTATTGCTAACTCTTTTAAATAACTACTTTTCAAACATGGCCAATAATCTTGTTCAAAATAATCTAAAAAAACTTCTAAAAATAAATTTGATGACTTTCTTAAGGACCCAAATTATAACTCTTTTCTTCTTTCACCAGTAACAAAAAAGGAGATAGAAACTTATATCTCTACAGCGAATACAAAGATAGACCCAAATAGTATCCCTACTTCAATTTTAAAGTTATCCAATAAAATAGCAGAATCCATTTGTAAAATAATAAATAACTCATTTATAAAAAGATACTTCCCAGACTTTTTCAAAATTGCAAAGGTTATCCAAACTCACATGGATGACTCCAAACTTAAACTTGTTAACTACAGGTCTAATTCATTACTGTCAAATGTAGGAAAAATATTTTAGAAAATAATGTATGCAAGACTATATAAGTTTTTTGATATTTTTAATTATATTTATAAATTACAATATAGGTTTTTAACATAGACATTGAACGATGGCCTATAACTGGACCTAATTTTGAAATTTCTAAAATCTTAGAATATGACAATTTTGATTTTCAACCTACAACTTTTGATATTTCATACTCACTACTAATTAAAACATGAATTATTAATTTTTAAACCTACTGCATTTTCAACATTCTGAATTCTCAACCTAAAAGAATTTCAACCTACTATATTTTCAATCTAATTTATTTTTGATCAACTGTTTTTTCGATTGACTTTATAACTCTTTTCCGGTATGTATTTTTTTAATTTGTTGTTGATTTAAATCAGACCTGAATTTAATCAGCCGTAGCACAGTGACTGGAGCCCTGGCTTATAATTGAGAGGTTCGAGGTTTGATGCCTGGTCTAGGTATGTAAGGCGGCGTGAAATTTTTCCTTAAATGCTCTTCCACACAGTTCTACAACAAAACCGTTAGGTCTTGTTGGAGCACCTTAATAAATAAAAGAAAAAAAAAAATTTATTCCCCAAGGAGAATAAAATACATTGCAGAATAAAATACCTTTCAGAACAAAATCAATATTTTATTTTCCAAGGAGAATACGATAAGACCGTTAGGTCTTATCATAGAGCACTACGGAAGGGCATTTAAAAAGGATGTTTATGCCTCCTCCCGTACCAATGTCGCTTATCTGACCTCTTTTTTTATATACTACTGTCGAGTCCTTAATACAAGATGTGTGTGTGGGAGGAGGGGGGGATAGTAAAAACACAGACTAGAAGGTTGAAATGAATATTGCCTATAATGGCTTGAAAATCAATTTATCTCAAATCGGTTAAAAATAAAAGTCTTCAAAATCAGTTGAGAAAAAAATCGGTCAAAAATGAAAACATCATAAATTGGTTGAATTAAAAAGGACTATAATAGGTAGAAAACAAGTTAGGCCTCAGTAGGACATCTAAAAATTATTTCCACTTTTTAGTAGATGTTTTATTTTGTAAATCAAGGTTTGCAGGTGCAAGTTTTTGTAGGTTGAGCTATGTGACACGCATTGAACTACCTATGGTCTTATTGACTTAACAGAGGTTATTTGAAAAGCACTAGATGAAAACAAGTTTACTTGTGGTGTGTTTATTGACTTGCAGAAAGCTTTTGACACGGTAAACCATCATATCCTTCTCACTAAATTAGCATATTATGGAGTTTGTGGAATTCCTTTGAACTGGTATAAATCTTATTTAAACCAGACTCCAACTTGAAACTATAAATGAAATTACCTCCTCAATCCGACCTGTCAATTTAGGAATCCCTCAAGAATCTATCCTTGGACCTCTTCTATATTTGTATACATTAATAAATTAAACACATGCCTCAGTAATGTATCTACTTATCATTTTGCTGATGACACTAATTTACTTATAATTAAGGACTGTTGATGAAGTTCAAAATGAAACCAATGAGGCTATATCATCAATACTTAACTGGCTGGGAGCTAATAAAATCTCACTCAATGCTAAAAAAAATCCAAAACAAAAAATCAAAAAATTTATAAGCAACTAAACTTTTAAATTAATGGAGAGATATTAACTTCTTTAAAATCAGTAAGGTATCTTGAAAATCTTACTTTTAAACACCATCACTCTTATTTACAGTCAAAATTGACGATCTATTGGTTTGTTAGCCAAAGTAAGGCACTTTGTCAACTTAAAAAACTGTAACCAGTATAAATACTGGTTAGAAGCATTTATCATAACATATTTGGATCTCACATACCATACATTTGCCAGATCCGGGGACAAACTAATAATCTTTAAAAAAAAAATTTTTTACTAACAAAATTAAGCCATTGAAATTACCCACTGTCAGAATGACCGTTTGGACAATGTCTCTTTGTTATATAAGTTATCACAGGTTTCAAAACTACATGACAACATCAAACTTATGAATTGTATCTTAGTATGGGTTACTTGCATGACAGATTCCACTCCTATCACCATAGATCCTCATCATTCAAAAATATATTTGTTGAATGCACAATAAAACTCAAATAAAGCATCAGTGCACCAACGAGCGAAACAATCTCACCCAATCCATAAAAACTAAAAACTTGAATTCAAGATCTGCTTTTTTAAGTAAAATTAAACAAAGCTATCTTGACAGCTACTCATAAAATAAAATAGTATCATTACCATACTTAATGTCTACACTTTATTTAATTATTATTTCTATATTTAGTATATATGATTATATTTATATTTATTAGTATTTATATTATATATTTAGTTAGCATTAGTATTATTTCTTCATCCTATTATTTTACTCTAATTTAATAACTTTTTTGTAATACTTTTTTTTCTTACTACTATTCATACTATTAAATTTCATTATTTTAATTAGTTATTACTATCGTTATTATTGTTATTATTATATATAGATGAATTTATTTTTGTTCCTTTAGTTACTGTGCTGTGTTTGTCTGTTAAATTATTATCGATATTAGTTTTTTTTTTTTTTTAAATTTATACCATTAGATTATTATTTTGTTTGTTCATTTTCTTGTCTCTGCTTTATCCATTATCTATTTACAGTAAAACAAGGAAGCTTTATCTATCTATTTACAGTAAAACAAGGAAGCTTTAAATTATAAAATTTTATTGAATGTTTTGACAAGCATAAGTTTCATTCAATCTTTTATTAACATAAAAAAAATAAATAAGGATAATCTCAATTTTATAATAAAAAGCAATAAAAAAATATTTTGTCATTCATATTCAATAAATTATTAATGATACAAAAAATATACCAAATTTGATTATCATAAAATCAATAAACTCAGTTTTATACTTATTGACTTGTTCGTTCAGTTTTTACACTTGTTGACCTGTTTTTATACAATCAAAAATAAATTTCTGTTTGAATTTGTAAAACTTGTTTTAAATCTATTTTTACAGAACCTTCTCTCAAAAAAAAGTATGTAAAAAAAGTAACTAACCTCCATACGGGCTTTGATTGTAGGTAACATGATGGCATAATCCTACATAAACAATATAAAAAAGCAAAAAAACATTTGAATTAGCAACCCTTGCATTTTAAAATGTAAAAATATAGAGAGCAAAAAAATTTTACGTCAAGCCCGTGTTTTATAAATATTGGGATCAATTCAGAAACATCTTGCTCTCTGAGGAGTTGTTTGACACATAAAAATTGATCAAATGCACTAGTTGAATGAAAAATATCATCTTTTTTTGATAAAACTTTCTCAGAAGATGCACTGATGGTAGCTAAAAATAAAATGAAATATTTAAATTTTAAAAAGACTTGAATTAGAATCCTCAAAAATATATTATCTATTTAAATCTATATTTTCTTTATTTAAAGTTTTACTTTTATTGATGTTTTTTAAACTTTCAATAGTTCCTTTATCTTTGTCATGTTTTGTTTTATCTTCATCATGTCTTGTTTCATGTCTAGCTTTATCTCCATCGTATCTTGCTTCATCTTCTATCTTCAATTTTTCTGCACCTTCGCTATTTTCATCTTCACCAAAATGTTTTTTAAAATTCTGTACTTGAACTTCAATCAGGGCATCCAAAAAAACCTCACGAACATTTCTATAAAATAAAATTATTAAAAAAATAAATAAAATTATTAAAAAAAATTATTAAAAAAAATAAAATAAAATTATTAAAAAATAAATAAAATAAAATTATTAAAAAAAATTAAACTAATTAAAATTATTAAAAAAAAACCTTCAAAAAAAAAGAAAAAAAAAAAGATTAAAATAATTATTGACAGAAATACCTAGATAAAGTTTTATTGAGTATGGTCTCACGTAAAAACCATACAAACTTTTTTATCTGTTTAGAAATCACTCTGAAATGAAAAAAAATATATAAACTAATTTTTTTTTGATGGCCATTTCTTAAATAATCATATTTGTTCTCAGTTAAAGAAATCTTTAATGTTCAATTCAAAAAAGCAACAAAACTCATGTTCTCTATAATAAACTATGTCTAGATTTTTGTGAAGTTGCAATAAACAATATCTACAACAAAGACTATGCATGTAGTCTTTGTTGTAGATATTGTTTATGAATTTTATTTGTTTTACTAACGCGAGTAGCATCATATTAAGGTCAGTTCATTATATTTCAACCAATGGCTTGTGGGACACCATCTCAGATTTTCCTGATTTCTATGCGAATCATGTAAATAGTTTAAGTTTGAAATTTCAGACTTCCCAGTGGCCTCATTTTTTCTAGAACTATTTTCTGGATAGTTCTCTCTTTAAAAAAGTGATTTTTATTAACTTGCATCATATGAGACAAAAATTATGACTAAATCAAAAATCTGAAAATCACTAAAATAAAGTTAACTGAAGTATTTTTTTATTCATTCACAATTCTCTACAACTATTCTCTGCAAAAAATGGGCAAAAAAAAAGCAGCTTGTTGCAGTTCAGTTTAACTCAAATCTAAAAGTTGCCTATTTGTCTAAAATGTCCAAATTTTAGCCATTTTGAGATGCTTGTAAATTTTTCTATCACTTTATTTTGATCAAAGATTACCAGCAATTAAGACCATTAGACCTAATTATTTAAAAATGAAAGCATTATAAACTTCACGTTCGCATCGAAAATACCAACATTTTTAAATAAGCCAATTATTTAATTACCAACTGTTGAATACATTTTTGGAAACCTATGGCCTTCTAACCTACCTACTAGCCTGTGTGAGGGATGCAACCAATTATGTCATTTCTTAACAAAAAGAAAGATATGTTCGCTTATCCCCTCCTTTATCTAGATTTTATAGTTAATAGTGGCACAAATAAAGAGGTATTAACTATTTAGAGACCTTCATTATTGTTTAAATGTGATACTTATAAGATACAAAGCTTTCTTTAAATGGGTTGAAATATAATGAACTGACCTATTAGTAAAAAGAACAAAAAGGTTTTTTTTTCACAAATTTAGATAACAGCTGGAAAAATAACAAAGAAGATCAAAAAATTATAAAAACAATATAAAAATAAAATACTTGTCGCAAGAAATCATTCTTTTAATTATCTCTAAAAGCAAATACTTAATAGATAATCCAAACACAATTGCTAAATTTTCATGGTAACCATTTAGTTCTGCCTAGACACCAAAGAATATTTATAAGTAAGAGTAAATATATAAATACCTCTAAATACATGCTTGAAACATACAATTTATACAAAAATAAATTTAAAAAATTTTATTTTTAGTCAATATATGGGCAACTCCATTTTTAACTTACACGCGCAACAACTTTATCAAATATTTGCCTATTTAACTGTATTTAACTGTAAATTAAATTTTCAGCTATTTTGTATGAAAGCTGTTAGTCTGAAGAATAAAATAAGTTAAAAAGTTTTGAGTCTGGACAAAAGAGGGCAAACTTATAACTGAAAATGCTACTTAACTTATGTTTTGCAGAAATTAAGTTAAAAAAATAGTTTCAACATTTAGGTCAAATTTCTGCGAATCAGTAAAGAAGATTGTATTGGAAATTTTTGCAAGATGTTGAGAATTCTATACTAAAAAAAATATATAAAAATTCATCAGAGATGACCAGCTAAGGAAAATAAACTTGTTTTTTTGATACTATATATCTAACTTATGTTATATCACTTAAGATACCTAGTGATTATTATCGTGGATTTTTTATATCTATTTTTAAAAGTTTTTTTTGAGTTATGTAACAAAAGAATTGCAAAAGTGTTGAACTCATTCATCAAAAGTAATTAATAAAGTCAATTTTAAAAAACTGGTGGCACTCTGATTTTTCATAACATTTATAAAAGTTATTAAATCAAAAACAGTTTTTTCTGCAAGACCAAGAGCAACTTTAAAAAATGACTTTAGTATGACAAATTTATTAATACCTATTAAGTCATTTAAACAAGAAAATCTTTTAGTTTGTCCAAAATTTTACTTCCACTTCTCATGTTTATGCGTATTGCCTTATTTTAATTAGATTGAACTTTTAAAATCCTGCAAAATACTTACATTTAAATTTTTAAAAATATTTTTGAAGTAAAAACTGCTATTACAGTTTAGGAGGAAGAGGGGGTGCAGGTATATGTGATAGTTTGAGACTGGACGGAAGGGGTTAAAAATTGACAAATATAAGGTGACATTTTATGGATGACGCCCCTTAATTGCATTTACAAATGATTTGTTTACTAAAAAAAAAATAATAAATAAGAATTACATAAAAACGTGTTTATTTTGAAAGTAACAAAATCTTTATAAAAAAGTACCAGAACTTTTGTAAATGTAGTTTTAACTTACGCTATACAAATTTAAAATAAAATGTGCTTTAACTAAGCATAGTTATTCAAAACTTTAAATGTAAAATGTAACATTTAATATTCTTATGCATATAATATTAAAAAATTTAAGTTTTTTAACTAAATTTTAGAAAAAACAAAACTTTATCATGTTTTTGTTAACTTACGTTACATGAAAATTGGAAAAGTTCTTTTGTTATTTTCTCGAAATATATATATTTTTCAAAGTATAAAATCTGACCAACAACAAATTGAACATGTTAGCTCCATTTTCACACTAAATAAACTCAAGATTAAAATAACATTTTACAATGATGTGACAATTATATATCATGCAATAATTAGAAAAACTGTAACTTTCGGAAGCATAAAAATGACTTAAATTAACTAAAGATATATTTTAAATAAATTTTCATGAGTCTATATCAATATTCATTTGCTAAAAGTCAACAAAAAAAAAGAGTATAAAATTTGACTACTTTTTCATTTTCTGCCATGGAATTGCCCATATGCTAATCACAACCAAAATAATAAAAAATACACAACATACAAAATAAACAAATAAAAAAACAAAAATTTTAATACTAAAATTATAATAAAAAAGTTTATAAATTTTAACCTCGCCTGAATCAGGATAACTCCATCTTGCGATACACTCCTCAACAACTGATAAAACTGTTTCGTAGAATCTATTTTTCATAGATTAGAATGTTTTAAAATTTATTTTTCATAGATTAGAATGTTTCAAAATTTATTTTTAATAGATTAAAAAATTTCAAAATCTTATTTTTATATAAAAAGTTTTAAACTTTAGTACTATTTATTTTTAACTTTTTAGACACAAAAACAGAGAAACTAACTGAAGAAAAAGAAGAACGAAATGCATGCAATAGAGACAGCTTGTTTAAAAAACAACAACAGCAACACTATAAAAGAAACAGCAACTGGTAAGTGACTAGCCCCCCCCCCGGCTGAAATGAGACTTTTTGCAAACCCGCAAAACCCTGGCCCTAGCAAAATTATAAGATTTAGCAGGGGTTGATAGCCAGGACTACAAAAAAATTTTATAATACTTTTTATATTATAGTTTTATGCTTACATTTACTATTTATTAAATACTGGCATATATTTATATACTTTTTCACTTCGCAAGAAGGTTTATCTTCTTTCAAAGTTGAACCACCTATTACTTCTTGCAGTAACAGTTTTTCAATAGGAATGATCCTATGAGAAGTTTACATGAACAAAGATAGAACCTTGTGGTACCCTTAAAGTTACTGGAAATGAAAAAGAGTATAGGCCTTCAAGAATAAATTTAATACTGCAGTTAGAAATAAAGAATAAAATAATCTCAAAACCTTCATATAAAAAAACTAATAACAGAGTGAAGACTATTCTTAGGATAGTTGGAGAGGTCAAAGTGTTTTCTAGAGTTTTGAAAAATTGGAACCACTTATTTAGCACTTTTTAAAAATTTACTAAAAATTGAAGAGAATTCTGGAGAACACTTTTTTTAGACTATGATGTAAATCTTGTTTAAAGCACAAACTGTAGAAGTGTTTAACTGAGAATTAACTTTAGCAGTGGAAGCCAGAGTGATTTGGATGATTAATAATGGGTTAGTCTGTTAAACTGGCAGGAAGAGTGTGGCCATTAGATTCAAGAGTCAAACTAGAGTAAGATTTCATAGCAAATAACTCTGCTTTATTCTGGGGAGAAGTAAAAAAATCAGACCCATGAATTAGAGATTATATGTTAGGCTTACTTTAGTTAATGACACTGTTGAAGACTAATCAAAAGTCTCAAAACCTAACATCTGAGATAATCATATATATAAAAAATATAACATGAATTTTGAATTTAAAAAAAATACTTTAGGATGTATTAATGTTTATGGAGCGACATAAAAATATAGAATGCACAAACAAACAAAAAATAACAATAAGATAAATAACTGGGTGTCTGCCAATATCCTAACCCTTTCACTCCTTGCACAATTTGCACTGCACTCCCAAACTTAAAATTATTTCTGACTAAATAGTTTAAAACCTTGCATTGATTAAAACAATAAGCAAATCTCCATAAAACATTGAACATTTATGTTTGGCTTCTAAATTAGTGAGGCATAAGCATTTTACTTGAGTCAATAAAAACTGTTACTTAAAAGGGAAGGGGGGATTCTATAAAAAGGTATAAGGGTGGGATTCTATAAAAAGCGTACTTAAATGTATAAGGGTGGGAGATAGGGGTTTAATATAATAGTATTTACACACAACTTGAAGAAAAAATCCCTATTTTATGTTTGTTTTTTGAAATTTTAACATTTTTACTTGTTAAAAGGGTATTTCAACAGGGAGGTATTGTTTCAAATTTTTAAAATCTTGAGGATTTTCAGGTGTTTGAGCACTCTATTTGTTTCTTTATTTTTGCTGTTGCAAAAAAAAAAAAAAAAAAAAAAAAAAAACACATCTCTTATTGTTTTAAGTTTAAAAAAAATTATCTCTAATAGTTTTAATGTTTTGATTAATATTACTTAGACTTTAGTTTCAAGGTTCTTCCAATTTAAAAAAAATGAAACATTTCTTTTTCCAATTTCGTAATGACTCATTAACTAGAACATTATAAAATATTGTAATAAACGCTCAAAACTGTACTTCATATTCTATATTGCATTTATAACTTTATTATATTTATGAAAAATAATTTTATTTATCCTTCTAAAATTTAATGTTAGACAACTTATTCAAAAAGTAAAAAACCAAACAACAAATTAACAATTTTTTTAAACAATATGACCAATAAATGATATTATTCTTAACAATAAATAACATTACTATAATATTTTCAATAAAATAATAATAATAATAAATTACTATTTTATATACAATTTTTTATTTTTTTTTTATTATATTTTAATATTTTTTTATATTTTAATAGCAATACTTTATATATTTTAAAAAAACTTATTATTATTTATATTACTGATAATATCAATCTATTATTAATATTATTATTTCAAAATTCCTTATTTACATTTTCACTGTTATATTACTGAGGTTTAGAAAGAAAAAACCTTCACATAATAAGGTTGCAATCTTTTTTATAATTGTACTTTTTAATTATAGATTTTTAAATTTCAAAATTAATGTTGAAGTTGTAACTTTAAATTTAATGATGTATTAATGTAATAATCAGAAAAATGTTTTAAAAAATCTGTAGAACACTGTTAAGACATTTTGCTAACTCCTTATAATTTATACAAATTTAATATAAATAGGGTGTTGGAATATAGCATTGAACATAATACAATATTCCTAAACTGTGCCTTTATATTGCATCTAAAAAGTATTATTTCACTATACTTTAAGTTTTAAAAAGATATTTATATTAGTTTATATTTTTACTTTTAATTTAATTAAAACATATAACATGTAACTTATTTAATTACTTAAATTACTTTAAAAAACCTCTATTATATACTTTTGTTTTGAAAACCCAAAAAAATCCCAGCAATTCAAAAAATCCTATCCTACAATCCTATCCAGCAATTCTAAAAGAATGTGATACAACTTTAATCTAATTTTATTTGTTCTTTTAAAAACTTATGTACAGTAAACTGATACGGGATTCAGAAATCTACCAATAAATTCAAAAGATATTATTGATATTTATTCAAAAATGTCCTAAATAATTTAGTTCTATTATAGTTTATGAGATTGGTAATGATACTGAAATTTAACTTTATCAATACTGGGGTATTGATAAAGTTAAATTTCAAAACCTTGGAATTAATGAGTTTTCGCAGCTCACCAGTGGTGTAAAGATCACATTTTAAAAACGTGCAAAAAGCAAATGTGACTTAAGATTTTTGCACCTGTTAACTTAAGATTCTTTTTTTTTTTCTGATGTTTGTTTAGAAAACTAATTAAAATATAAATTTTTTTGGAGTAATATATAAATTATTCAAAAATATTTGCAAAAGTTAGTTGTAGCAATCTTTTGGTTAAAGCTTTTGCAGTAAAAAACTATAAAGATTTCCTAAATAACTCAAAATCATTGTATTGCAATACATTTGTATTGCAACAATAATTGTATTGCAATACCTTTGTGTTGCAACAATCATTGTATTGCAACACATTAAAAAAATGAAACAAAATAATATTATAATTCTGTTTTTAAAATCATATCAAATGAAAGAAATAATATTAAACTTTTAATTGTATTTTAAAATAATGATCTAAAAAGTGCATTGGAATCAAATAAAAGCATATTAAATATATTTCTGTGAAAAAAGTTTATATGTTAGATATGACATTGATGGTATTGTGGTGTATACTTTGGATTAGTTTATTCTTTTTATAAATGATCTTAATTGTAAAAAAAAAAATTATATTGATATACATAGATATTGACAAAAACAGAAAAAAAAAAAAAAAAAAAAAAAAAAAAAAAAAAAAACAGAATATAATCGATTGATGTTCTAACTTTAATTGTTTTAAAACAAGAAGGTTATGATGATATTATGATAAGGTAAAACTAATCTTAAATGCTGTATAAAAATATCTTATCATACATAACATAATCACTACTAATGGCAATAGTTTTTCACAGTTTTAACTCACTCCACAACAAAATAGACAAAGTGAGTGGAAGGAAAGGCATATTTGGGAGGCAGAGAAAAATTACAAAATATTTTTGCAATTATATTTTTTTTACATTGAATTGTAACATTTACCATTGTTTTTGTTTAATCAAAAAAGTAACTTACAAAGTACAAGTTTGTCGAGGCAATGAAAGCATATGTCCAAGTAATTGACAGAAGTGTTTGCCACATGTTGATAGCATGTTGTCTGTGGAGCATATCTATATTAAGCATTTTCTATTTAACTGAAAATATTTTTTATGTATTTGCAATAAATATTCTATAAATATGAATATGTTGTTTTATAAATAACACCTAAAATAATAAATGTTTAATTTTAATTTATCGCATCATTATATTTTAAAAAGAAAAAAAACAAAACATTTTTAACAAATCAGCAAGCAACTACAATTAAATTTGGGGTTAATAGAAAACATTTATCTTTAGCCATGGTTTTACAATCTGTGCACTAAGTATTGACATGACATAATTTAAAGACTTAAATCACTTTAGGTATCCATAGCAACAAAATAAAAAAAAACATCTTTATAAGAAGTGCAGACATCATATTAGTACTCATGCTTATTTCAGTGAATATAGTCCTAATATTAAATTGATTATGAAATTCGTCTAGTAAAAGTGAATTCTGGCCACTGTGCAATATATAAAGTTTTCATTTTAGAAATCGCTGACTTGTTATTTGCAAAAATAATAATATATATTTAAGAAATAAAAATAAATCTTTTTTCTTCATTAAGTTAGAAAAAACACGATTGTGTCAAATGTCAAGAAATACTTATAACAAATATTTCTATATTTTAAAAACCCAGAATCTTAGTAAACATTCAATATTTCTATATTCTTTTGAGGTTTTTTAAATTTAGTTAAACTAGTTTTGCTGTAATTCCATTATGCAAATGCGTTAAGCATTTTTTATTTAACTCAAGACCTGCATTTTTCATCTCTTGTTCTGCCTAATAAAACTTTATCTTAATCTATATTTATTAAAATAAAATCCTATCACAGATAATTTAAACTTCAAATCTTGTATAGCTTTTTTCTGAGCACATCAGTGTAATGAAATTCTCTACCTCTGTCATGTTTTTATGATTTATATAACTTTTTTATAATTTATCGGGTGGACACAGAAAAATCCGGTCAACTTTAAATTGAGATTTCTCTAAAACCATAAATGCTTTTTATTTCAATTTTTTATTATTAAATGTATTTACATAAATTAGAGTTTCAACTTAATTTTAAGGGGCTTGATGGGTTGCTTGGCAAGAAATCAAACTTTATAGCGGGTTGATGCCATCATTTTACAGATTTTTTCTTTTTTCACCATATTGGTGGCATTAATCCACTTTTTTTGGAAGTCCTTTTTATTATTTGTTAGTCCACCTGTCTTACGAATAACTCCTTTAACTATTGCCCAAAAATCTTCAATCTTGCGCTCTTCAGGACGATTTGGAGGATTCGCATCTTTAGGAATAATTTTCACATTACTATCTTTGCACCACTGTAAAACTTTTTTAGAATATTGAGAGGCAGCAAGATTGGGCCAAAAGACACATCGGTATTTGTGTTTTTTTATAAAAGGCAAAAGTCTTTTTTTGAGGCATTCTTTGATGTAGAGATTGGCAGTCAAGGTCTTTTTAGTGACAAAACAAGTGGACTGCATACCACAGCTACAAATTGCTTGCCACACAAGGAACTTGGATGCAAATTTTTTTCTTGGCGAATACATTTAAATTGATCATCGACAGGTTTATCTTTGTTTTCATAGTAAAACTGTTGACCAGGAAGTTGTGAAAAATCTGCCTTGCAATACGTTTCGTCATCTTCAATTATGCACATATTTTTATCCGCCATTATTTTAACCAACTTCTTTAAACGTCGAATTTCTTTAATTTCATAATTTAAGCTTCTCTTAGGTGTATTTTTTTATGAAATGCTTTAATTCCAGCATTTTTAAGTACTTTTTTGATATAAGAACAAGAAGTCTTAAATTTTCTTGCTAGATCTCGGTGTGACTGATTTGGATTTCTTGCTATTGAACGTAAAATCGACTTTACCTTTTTGGATTTATGGAAAGTTTTTTTTCTTCCACTTCCAAGTTTTCTTTCGAAGCTTTGAGTAGTCTTGAACTTGTTTATAATATCTATGACTGTAGATTTTGGGACATTTGTGCGTTTAACAATCAAGCGATAGGAAGTCGATGGATTTTTGCAAAAAAACTCTTAACTTAAATAGCAGCTGCTCACAACTTTTATATACTAACTAATATTTTCTCCGTAGCTATATTTTGCATTACTGTTAGTTTTCTCAACTTATTGACAAGTTACTTTGCAATATCAAAATTTATATGACCTTTATAGATTGTGCTAGACTGTACAATGATGAATGTATATCTAATTACTATATGCAGTTTTATTGCAAACATGATTTCAACAAAGAAATCATATTTGCAATGGCCATTTAGTGGTGTGAATGTTTATAAATAATCTTTTTAACAGTCATGCAACAATAAAAACACTCAGTTTACTGCTCTGTAAAAACAAGTTGGTACTAGGTCAGTTGTAAGATTTAATAAATTTATGGAGTATTTTAAATATTAACAAAATAGCAATATGGGAATTCATAGCAAAAAAAAATTAAATAACATAAATAAAAATATAAAATATACAAAACCGTTTTTTTGATAATATTTGAAGCAGTACAAGACAAATGTAAAAAAATATCATATCTAGACAACTTTTTAGAAAAACTAGAAAATCTAATGATACTCTGGTAAATTTTTCTGGTAAATTTTAAAATTTATTTTGATTTATTTGCTTTTTTGCAAAATCTTTTTTTCTAGAAAAATAGGTGTGAAAGAGTCAAGCTATATTGCATGTCTCCATATAAGATATCTCATAAAAACCCACACTAATGTCTCCATATGATAATATCATCTTTACAAGAAGATCAATTTTTATGTAAAGTTTTTGTTAATTTTATAAAGAAGTTGATTGCAATTTATATATATTATGATTACAAAATTTATGCTACATTATAATCTGTTCTAAAACATTAACTAGCAATAAATAGTAATTAATGCACATATTTTTAAAGTCCATGACTTTAAGGTCCATAATTTATATTTAGCCAAGTTACTTAAAGGATAACAAATGTACAGAGATCAGTAACAGACATTAGGCTAATCGCTTATAATTAATACTTAACTTAACGCTGCTGCTCACCATTCGTGCACCTTTACACGGATTTTTTTACCATACTTGGCCTTTGAGTTTTATCATAAATTGCTTTACTTCTGAACTCGCCTAATGGGGCTCTTTCAAATCTTAATAATCTGTCAGTATCTGCTTAATCAGTAATAAGATCAAAAACTTTGTTTCATCAGCTTAATTAGTGATAAGATCAACAATTTTTATTTGATAACTTCTGTAGTAAAGGATGAACATTATGTTATTATTGAATTAGTAAAGTAACTTTTAAAGTCAGGTGATTTATTTAAATCATGCATTTTAGTCTTTTGTCAATTGTATTTAAATTTATTAATTTATAAAATTAATCTCTAATTTTTAAATTAAAAGACGACTCAAGAAGACGTTGCTCATTTCAAAGGTCAAGAGGTCAAACTCTTGATAAAGTTAGTGTTTAAAACACTTGCATCTCACACGGTCAACTCAATGTTACATGTTAAAGAACAAGATCGTTTAATACCTTATTTAAAAGAAGTTATAAAAATCCGTATAAAAAACCAGATTGTTTGATAGTTTGTTTTTGAAAGTTGTTAAACATTTATTACGAGGTATTTCAAAAAACAAAAATAAGGTTGTATTTGTAAAGTTTCAAATTTATATATTTTTCTTAATTTATATATTTATCTATATATGTGTGTTATTTATATTGTGTTTTATTGTGTATATATGTGTTAAGGTTATATGGGTTTATATTTTGTAAGTGTGTAAATATATGAAATGTTTCAATGTTTGTGGTGTGTTATATGTAATATGTTTATAGTTTGTAAGTGATAATTATGTTGTTTGCATGGTTTCAAATTGTTGTGACTGGGCTTAGTTTACAGCAAGATTGTTGACCTCGCTAGCCAAGTGGTGTACTTTGCTATAATGTGACCTGGCTTTGTTGAGAGCAAAAATATTGTCCTCGCCAGCAGAGTGGTGTATTGTCATAATAAAACACATAAATTAATTCTGTTTGTAATTAGTGTATTTCTAAAATGAGTTGAAAAAATATTGTTTAAAAAATGTGTTTTAATGTTGTTATCCTCTGTTCTTAACAATGTATGCTTTTGACAATAAATAAATTTTGTTAAAAAGCAGGCTTTACTAACAGCTCCTCCTCATTAAAATTTTTAAGAGTTTTGATTTTCTTCATTAAATATGTTTAACTCAAATTTTTTTTATATATATAAAAGTAAGTATACAGCGTGTTGAAGCATAAGTTTTAATAACTTTTGTTAAATTTTTAGGATTTTTTGTATAGAGAATGTTTTCTTTATATTATTATTATAATGTTTTGTATGTACATCAATATATATATATATATATATATATATATATATATATATATATATATATATATATATATATATATATATATATATATAGACACACACACACACAATAAAATATATAGAATTAAAATGTCTATACATATATTATATGTATAGACATTTTAATTTTTTTGCCTTAAATTATTGTCCCTTTTTCTTTAGAATATTAAATATCTAAAAAAAAAAAAAAATAGTAAAAGAAGTTTCAATATTTCCAAGTTTCTTCACTTGAAGCAAATATATGATTGTTTATAGAGGTTCTTTTAGTAGTTTTGTATTTATTTATTGCAAATCTTGCGTTAAATGCCTTTCAAAGTAATGAAAGGGTTTTGTTGATGGATGATTACATTTTATCCTTCCATGCTAGCAGTACCTGCTGAGTTGACAGGCCTTAAATTTTTTTAATTTGCTTTATTTATGAGTTCTTATATGTAAAAAATTTGTTTTTTAAATTACATTTGTTTTTTTTGTTTTTTTTGATTAAATACTTATAATATTTTGTCAATAATTGATAACAACTACCATAAATATATAAACAATACTTAGTTGAAAATATTACATTAATTTATAACTTTAGTTTAAGTTTTTAATAAAACTATGTTATCTTAACACAATGCTATATATGGTAGAATATAATAGATT